TTGCCAAGCATTTTGGTAGGAAGTGAAACACAACTACCAAATACTACTTAGTCTTAGATAAACATTGGGTACATGGACATTAAAGTAAGAAAAACTTAACTTACATTTAAGGATTTTTTGATGATTATAATTTCAGGTGTTTATTAATCGTGGATTGTTATATTTTGAACGAAAGGATTATGATAATGCTGTGTATGATTTTCAAATGTCGGCTAAACTCAGTCCACTAGACCACAGAATACATCATACACTTGGTCTCTGTTATCATAAGTATGTTGAGATATTTTTTTTACTTTTTGGAGGAACACAACTTGCAGCTATTCATATATTTTTTTTATCAACTTAATAAGTATAGTAATCATACTAATTGGTTGGTAGATGACAAGTTAACATTCGCTTCCAGCAGATGCTGATATCACAAACTAGGTAGTTGTTGGTAGTCTAACTTTGACCATTCTTTAAAACATATAATAAGATTTAACATAAATGGACTTGTGCAGGCAAGCTGCATAACAACAAGAGCTGTAATAAATCCCCTAGTCCATTTTTGATCATTAAGCTTACTAACTACAAATGAAAAGCCTATATACGAAATCTGTCAACAATCGATAAGGGATATACTTCACATACTTTGTAAGGAAAAAGAGATGTGTCCTTATCCATGGTTTTTAACCTAGCCATTAATAGTAGTATAATTTTTATTGCTTTCCCACACATCAGTATGTTTGAACAGAATATTCTCCAGCTAGTAACTAAGGTCTATCAGATGGATCATACTATTATACTGGGTGTGTCATCTTGCTAATCCTTTGGGATTCGGTAATAATATTGATTTGGTATTGAAATACAACCTCATAATTGGGGCAATCGATTGGTGAGTTCTGCACATCCAGGATTCACAAAATGAACTGAAAGTAGAAGTGTTGACAGAATTCAAAATGGTGGAGTATTATGAATGTGACAAGTACAGCTCCATGCCTTTTGAGGTAATCTAGAATTGAAATAGGCAGAACATGCTCAGAACTAACCAATAGAGTGCCACCCTGGAAACTCAAGGTTCACATTCATAATGTTGAACCCTGCAGAGAAGATTTCTGTTTTGTTTCAGACTTGGAAGACTACAAGAAGCTGTACAAACATTTACTGATTGTCTCAAATTAAAACCATTCTTCTTGGATGGACTAATTTCTAGAGGTAATGTTTATATGGATTATGGTCATGCTGATGGATTGGACTTCGCAAGGTAACACATTTATTTTATGTATAATACTGCCCCTGTCCGTCTGTGAACATTTCTTGTAAACGCGAAATGGGCTAGAGTTTTTATTTTATGAATGACATGTATGGATTGATAAGATCTGGGTCGGTTCTAATTTGGTTAATTTTGGGTGAACTGTTTTTGAGTTATTGCCCTTGACTTAGTAAAAACCTGTTAAATTTAGCTTATTATAATGCTACTCATGTAATATTTAGCCTTCGCTCTTGTGTTTATATTTACAAAACAAATTGTTTGTAGAAGTGTGTTGTTTGGCCATTTGGAAAAATTTTCGACATCAAAAATATTTATTACCTCAGTCCCTTATATGAGGTTTGGGATAGTAGAGGCGGTGCATAAATATCCGCTATTTCACTCATATTGTTTTGTAAGCTATTTCAAATGCATTTCCTGGCATAGTAAGGAAGATTCTAGAAACTATCTACCGGCAGTTCACTGCAGGCCAAGTTTGTCATAATTGTTTTGTATTTTTTAGACGTGATTATCAAAGAGCGTTAAGACTAGATCCAATGTGTCTGCCAGCCAGGGTGAATTTAGCCTACACTTTACAAGTTGAAGGTCATTTGATGCAAGCCTGGGAACAGTTTACATCAGCTATTGAAGTCAAGCCAAGTAAGTATTATTAACCTTTAGGAAAATTACATGGTTGCACAATCTTTTTCTGGCACAAGAAAGACAGAAAGAAACAACTGTGTTACAAGGATAACAAATTAGGTTCACAAGGTTCAGTTCTATCAGATGATCATTGGCCAAACCCCTTGGCATTGATCTTTCTGGGATTTTTCATACACATTTACAGCTGGGTTGACTGGAATTATAAGTGAAGATGACTTATTCAAGATCACCAGACTTTTACACGCCAATGGAGAATAGAACCATGACTACCATTTGTCCAACATAGCTGCACAAATGTAGTCACTGTGCTATAGCTATTCGAAGTCAAGTTTGCAGCACATTTGATTAGTCTCACACTTCTTATCAGACAGTATTTTGCAATTTTTTCTGATCAAGTTTGGTCTACACAGCAATATAAATCCTGAATTTAAATAATCTCTTGAAAAGAAATAAGCTCTTCGTGAAGCTCTTTAAGAGCTGAGACCTTACAAATTTTTGCCTAAGCTCTTGTATTTTCTTATTTAAAAAAGGAATAGATAAGACAATACACTGAGGCCCCATGTTAAAGCCTGAGCATGATTCCCAGACAGGTTTGGAAAAAGTCTGGCTCTCTGGTTTGTATTGCCCAATCAGATCCAGAAAAGTGGGGTGTAAACCTCCATTCATTTCATTTCTTCGAATTTCCTTATTCTTTGATATCAAGGTTATATCTTCAAAGTAACGCTTGGATATTTTCAGCTTATAAACCAGCATTAGAAGGACGAGCTATAGTTAATCTACAGATGAGTAATATGTTTGGTGCTAGTCAAGATATTACTGCTAGTATTAAAGTTCAACCTACAGCTGAATTGTTAACTAATAGAGGTGTCATACAACAGGTGAGAACTGAACATTAATACTATAAAGAAAAACTATGCCTCAGTACATTAAGCATTTGCTAATTCGAAGTATTATCCATGGTTGATCTAGTAATTTATAGAGAAACAGAAATAGAATGACAGTATTAATGATGTGTTTTATGTAATGCGATGTTTTATGTTCAGTTATGTTTCAAGTTTGTCAATGACAGTATTAATGCTATGTTACGTTTTATGTTTCAAAATTATATATGTGTTATATTTTATGTTCAGTTTATGAATGACAGTATCAATGTTAAGTTGTATGTTTCAGTTTATGAATGACAGTATCAATGTTAAGTTTTATGTTCAAGTTTATGAAAGACAGTATCAATTTTATGTTTTATGTTTCAGTTATGAATGACAGTATCAATGCTGTATTTTATGTTCCGTTTTATGAATGACAGTATCAATGCTATATTTTCTGTTCCGTTTTATGAATGACAGTATCAATGCTGTATTTTATGTTCTGTTTTATGAATGAAAGTATCAATGCTGTATTTTATGTTCCATTTTATGAATGAAAGTATCAATGCTGTATTTTATGTTCTGTTTTATGAATGAAAGTATCAATGTTGTATTTTATGTTCCGTTTTAACAATGACGGTATCAATGCTGTATTTTATATTCCGTTTTATGAATGAAAGTATCAATGCTGTATTTTATATTCCGTTTTATGAATGACGGTATCAATGCTGTGTTTTATGTTTCAGTTTATGAATGACAGTATCAATGTTCAGTTGTATGTTTCAGTTTATGAATGACAGTATCAATGTTATGTTGTATGTTTCAATTTATGAATGACAGTATAAATGTTAAGTTTTATGTTCAAGTTTATGAAAGACAGTATCAATTTTATGTTTTATGTTGCAGTAATGAATGACAGTATCAATGTTATGTTATATTTTTCAGTTTATGAATGACAGTATCAATGTTATGTTTTATGTTCCGTTTTATGAATGACAGTATCAATGCTGTATTTAATGTTCCGTTTTATGAATGACAGTATCAATGCTGTATTTTATATTCCGTTTTATGAATGACAGTATCAATGCTGTATTTTATGTTCTGTTTTATGAATGAAAGTATCAATGCTGTATTTTATTTTCCGTTTTAAGAATGACAGTATCAATGCTGTATTTTATGTTCCGTTTTAAGAATGACAGTATCAATGCTGTATTTTATTTTCCGTTTTAAGAATGACAGTATCAATGCTGTATTTTATTTTCCGTTTTATGAATGAAAGTATCAATGCTGTATTTTATGTTCCGTTTTAAGAATGACAGTATCAATGCTAAGTTTTGTGTTTCAGTTCATGAATGACAGTATCAACACTTTTTTTATGTTTCAGTTTAGGAATGACAGTGTCGATGCTAAGTTTTGTGTTTCAGTTTATGAATGACAGTATCAATGCTGTATTTTATGTTCCGTTTTATGAATGACAGTACCAGTGCTATGTTATATGTTTCAGTTTATGAATGACGGTATCAATGCTGTATTTTATGTTCTGTTTTATGAATGAAAGTATCAATGCTGTATTTTATGTTCCGTTTTAAGAATGACAATGTCAATGCTATGTTTTATGTTCCGTTTTATGAATGACAGTATCAATGCTGTGTTTTATGTTCCGTTTTATGAATGACAGTACCAGTGCTATGTTATATGTTTCAGTTTATGAATGACGGTATCAATGCTGTATTCTATGTTCCGTTTTATGAATGACAGTATCAATGCTATGTTTTATGTTCCGTTTTATGAATGACAGTACCAGTGCTATGTTATATGTTTCAGTTTATGAATGACGGTATCAATGCTGTATTCTATGTTCCGTTTTATGAATGACAGTATCAATGCTGTATTTTATGTTCCGTTTTATGAATGAAAGTATCAATGCTGTATTTTATGTTCTGTTTTATGAATGAAAGTATCAATGCTATGTTTTATGTTCCGTTTTATGAATGACAGTACCAGTGCTATGTTATATGTTTCAGTTTATGAATGACGGTATCAATGCTGTATTCTATGTTCCGTTTTATGAATGACAGTATCAATGCTGTATTTTATGTTCCGTTTTATGAATGAAAGTATCAATGCTGTATTTTATGTTCTGTTTTATGAATGACAGTATCAATGCTGTATTTTATGTTCCGTTTTATGAATGACAGTATCAATGCTGTATTTTATGTTCCGTTTTATGAATGACAGTATCAATGCGGTATTTTGTGTTTCAGTTCATGAATGACAGTATCAACACTTTTTTATGTTTCAGTTTATGAAAGACAGTATCGATGATATGTTTTATGTTTCAGTTATGAATGACAGTATCAATGTTATGTTTTATGTTCCGTTTTATGAATGACAGTATCAATGCTGTATATTCCGTTTTATGAATGACAGTATCAATGCTGTATTTTATGTTCCGTTTTATGAATGACAGTATCAATGCGGTATTTTGTGTTTCAGTTCATGAATGACAGTATCAACACTTTTTTATGTTTCAGTTTATGAAAGACAGTATCGATGATATGTTTTATGTTTCAGTTATGAATGACAGTATCAATGTTATGTTATATTTTTCAGTTTATGAATGACAGTATCAATGTTATGTTTTATGTTTCAGTTTATGAATGACAGTATCAATGTTATGTTTTATGTTTCAGTTTATGAATGACAGTATCAATGCGATGCTTTATTTTTCAGTTTATGAATGACAGTATCAATGTTATGTTTTATGTTCCGTTTTATGAATGACAGTATCAATGTTATGTTTTATGTTCCGTTTTATGAATGACAGTATCAATGCGATGCTTTATTTTTCAGTTTATGAATGACAGTATCAATGTTATGTTTTATGTTTCAGTTTATGAATGACAGTATCAATGTTATGTTTTATGTTTCAGTTTATGAATGACAGTATCAATGTTATGTTTTATGTTTCAGTTTATGAATGACAGTATCAATGCAATGCTTTATTTTTCAGTTTATGAATGACAGTATCAATGTTATGTTATATTTTTCAGTTTATGAATGACAGTATCAATGTTATGTTTTATGTTTCAGTTTATGAATGACAGTATCAATGCTATGAGAGATTACCAAGCTGCTATAAAATTAGATAAGACCTATTCACTGGCTTATTTTAATATGGGTAATGTTAACTTCCATACAAGGCATTTCAAACAGGTAAGAAACTGATAAAAAGCATATTGTTAGGTACTGTGTAATTGTGCGCAGGCATATAAGGCGCACCACTTCTTACCCTCCAGTATAAAAAACTCTAATCTTCTTTGAATACTTTGCACACATTCAGTTTTAAATATATTAAATAACTGTATAACAGATTAAAAAAAAGAACAAGAAAATATAGACGAGCCTTCATCCTTGGAATATAGATGTGTCTCAAAATCAAAGTCCTTTTTGAGATTTAATTTCATTAAGCAAATCCAATGGATACAGAGTTTTATCCTTCTACCATCTGAAGGATATAAGATATTAGTAATTCTCAGTTTTGTCATCTTTAAATTTTCTACTTATTTGATTCAGGCATTGGATAACTATAACAAGGCTGTTGAATTTAATAACAAAGATGAATCAGCATTCTTAAATAGAGCTATAACCAAAGTAAGTATGCTTGAAGTGCTTGTGACTAAAAGTTTTCAATTATATATGGAGTAGCAGTGTAGGCCAGGGTATATTTTTATATCAAATATGTATATCAAAGTTTGTCAAAATTATAATGCAAATAGAGATTACACAAGTATTTTGAAATATTTTGAAAATTCTTAACCAAATGAAGTTCATGAAACGTGACCTACTAGTCAAATTTCTAAAAATGATGTTTTAAATTTGTTTATCATTCTAGGTATTATTAAGAGATGCTCAAGGTGCATTAAGCGATTTTAAGGCAGCAATCAAACTCAGTCCTCATTCAGCTCATATGTATTTTAACCGTGGTAATTTATATACATCATTACAACAATACGACAAAGCTGAAAAAGATTATACAAAAGGTTTGTTCAAAGATGATATATTGAGTCACTTTCCCCATCTTCACATTACGAACTGCGTTCTTATACCTTGACTGCCATAGCCACTATTTTTGTATCACAGAATGCAATGATTTGATTGTATTGTATCGAATACGGGGAATCAGAGACTCCCTTAGAGTCTTAAAGATTATGGCTTTGTGTTCACAGACTTTGTATCAGGCCTCTGATTGGCTGTATTCGCTAGCGTACAATCCAATCAAATCGCTTCGTTTACAAACTTCCATGATACAACACAGGTGACCATTGCAGTCAAGGTTTAAGTATGAAGTTCATAATAGCTTGTGAAGTTGTCCCTCCCCCACTTTCCAATTTCTTATCATTAAAATTAGAAGAAAGAATTGTTTGTGAGCCTCCCTAGACAATTGTGTGGCCTTAACTCGACCCCTTCAACCAGTGAGTCAACGCCACTGTCTGTTTGAAAGAATATTTTTGGGATGAATTAAAAAAACATGCTGTTTCATTTGCAGCTCTAGAATTGGTACCAGATGATGCTCTGACATTGAAACGTCGTGCTGATGTTCGTGGTAAACTTGGCAAGAGAGAAGAAGCTGTTGCTGACTATAAACATGCTATAGAGATCCAGGGCCGTCCAAAACGATACAAGTAAACCATCTGGTACAAGTAAACCACACGGCTGATACAACTAACAGTTCGCTATTGGTACAAACTTTAACAAGATCTATATGAAGATTTGGTATGAAAATATACCCACTCCAAAGTGTTTTTCTCTTTAAATAGTTGCAAACTTTGTTTATCCATGTAGAGTATTTTTTTTTTATCTCAAAGAAAGATATTCATAATTTTCAAGTATTTTTGTCATCTGCATATCGGATGGTTATGACCTCACTATATTCATTGATATTATTTTCTACACATATCCACACTTACAGACAAATTTCAAAGCAAAAAGTAAATTGGAATTTGATGCAATTCCTTGATGACTATCTTTATGTACAACCGACCGTAATAAGAAATATTTTGAAACAATAAACCATGAGTAAAACCTTTCTAGATACATCTAGATATTGCAGCTTTAATTAAAAAGCATTTGGTACAAGTTCACAGCACAGACTGTGTTGTTAAAGCAGTAAATGAAATGCATTCTGTCTGTACTGTGAATTTCTGTCAGTAACGGAGTTAAATTTGAGAACATCTGTGATATTTTATGGATCTGTATAGTCGAAAAAAGATATTTGTGTTTCATTCAAATGGTATCACAAGCAGCCCACCTGAATTTGAGGTAGTTTAAGTCAGTGCTTCTCAACAGAGGAGGAATTGGAATCGTTGAATACACTGTTCGAGTGAAATACCTTTCTAAATGACTGATTTATTTTAAGGGGGAATAGATATGCAAAAACTCTTCCGAGGAGGAATGATCTCATTGAGGTTGAGAAGCACTGATTTAAGTGGTATTGAATGTTGTATGATTGGACTGCTCTTGATACTAGTTAGATTCTATTTAGTAAACTTTAAGTTTTAGGGGCAGAGGGGGCAGTCTTGGTTCTTGCATGCGGGGTATTTGATTATCTGTGCACGAACGAAAAGGCAAGCAAAGAAACGGAATGCAAGAGTCGAGGAATCCATTTTTGTCAATTGATTACGATTGCGTGTAGTATAAGGGGATGAGTCGCACGATAGCCTTCGATACGATTCAACATATTTGCTCTACGATGTATTGGCATATCGTAGCGTACATAATCGTGGCGAAAGCCCTGTAGTGTGAGGCTCAAAACCCTGCGCGCCCACGACCGCATGTGTTGTCGTGTCATACACGCCCTCATAATATACGCCATCGTATCGTAGCGAGAGTGTGTGCACGACATCGTGGAGTAACCATCACGGTAGTCCGTTTGTTAGGGTTAATGCAGTGGCTACATTAAATAATAATTAAAGCTAATAAAGAAAGTTTGGTTTTATTTTAATTATAGTACATTACAATTGCGACATGAAATTTTAATAATTGTTAACTTATATGGTTAAATATAAAGTCTACATTAAGATGTCTTTTCTATATCTCTGCAATTTCAACTTTTGATGTATAGGTTTTATAAATATACACAACAGAAAATTACAAGTAGTCAAATAGGTCTATTCAAAAAACCCTATCAAATATCTTATTTAATTGTATAGGATTTTCAGTGCATGGCGCGTAGGACAGGTTTTCATCACGATTGAGGAAGTAAAAATCCTTTCAACTCCATCATTTCCAAGATGGCTAAAAAACGATACCTGGGATTTTACCTCCTTACTCTTTTCAGTTGTACTAGAATATTAGTCCAGTCAAGTAAGTATATGATTTTTTAAAGCAATATCTTCTCAGAAAATAATTCTTAAATAAATATTTTTTTCTTCCAATTAACAAACGGGATAGAAATATGTCCCAATGAGTGATAGTTCAAACCTCTGTTTCTAAAGCAGCTTGAATGGGAAATGGCCCTGAGAATTAGTCTCAACAGGTCGAAGACGCCGTATTGAATATAATCGAATAACCTCATTTGGTATCAGATGTTTTATATTCGATCAAGACAGGTATCCAGTGTTTGTATAGTAATCTTGTATTGTATTAAGAAAACTTTTGCCGTTCATTAATATACCTTTCTACACTTGATTTTCCCCATGAATAAGTGAACGCTATGTAGTGTGCAACGAGGAAAACTTTGCTAGGACAATGGTATTACCCTACTAGCTCATGTGTTTCATTTTATTTATTTTAGTCCTTTTAGAATCTGATAGTGAACCACAGATTGGTCAGGAATTCACACTGACTTGTAATACCTCTAGCGTAGGAATCAACTGGTATAGAAACAACATATACATAGGATGGTCAGAAAATCAATATACAATCGTGAAATCTGATGCATGCAACATTTCAACAGACCCGGAACGTTATACATTTGAACATTGTGGCGTCAAACATGAATTAACTATTAAATCTTTAAATGATTTGGATGATGGTAGTGTTTGGAGATGTCAAAATCGGCAGGATTCTCATTTCTCCAATAACTTTACTTTGACAGTTTTCACAGGTAGGTTGTAAGGGTTAATCTATTGAAAATGTTACGAAACAGTTACTAGAAAGAGAAAAGACAAATATTAGCTTGTCGGACAGCGACCGAAAAAAACCTCGGGCTGACAAGTAACGTTTTTAGGGAAATATGTCTGAGGTATGTGTAAGCAAACCTCCTTACAATCCCTTTAAAGGGACAATATACAAAATATTCATCTGATTCGCTGGAGTACAAACCAGTCAAATCACTGCATTCCGTGATACAAGAAATGTTATTCCTGTTAAGGTAGACGTTCTAGTTCTAGCTTGACACTGAGAAGATGTTACAAAAGATCTTCTCGAAGTTATCAAATTGTGGAAATTATAAAAAAATATTATTTCTTTCCAAAGACAAGTAATATTTGAAGACAAAACTCTCGTTATTTTCAGGACAGCCACGACTCTTTATGAATGGTCAACAACTAGTTTGCCTCTATAAAGCTGAACAAAATAGTGATATGAAATTTCTACCTTGGAAACATTCTATAGATAATGAATTAGTGAGAGAAATAGAAGGTTATTATATCAGTGATACAGTTTATGGTTTAAACATGACTAATAGTCAAAATAATGGTGGAATTTATTCCTGTTCTGTTAATGATGGTGGAACTGTTCAGAAAGTCGTTTATAATTTTATACCTCAGCAAGGTAAGTCATTTAGATAAGTAATGCATACAGCTTAAGCACTCGATTGAAAAAGCAGATGTTATGTTTCCTTTCTGTGCTATACGCCGCTTGCCATCCATGATCTGACGAAATTGTTATGCAACAAATGTTCTAGGTCATTGAAATAGTCAACCAACCATGTGCCATGCTCCATAATAGATTAGCTAAGACCAGTTGGTCTGTAGAATTCATCCTCGTGAATCCAAGCTATTATCCTTGTGAAAATTATTTTTTCTTTTTCCTTTTTCCATAGCACCACACCTTTATGAACCAACGCTTAAAGGTGAACTTCAAACGGGAGATAATAGTACATTCACTGTTACATATTTGGAAAACAATATTTTGAATCGTTTCGTAAACGTTTCATGGTACCGGGCTGGTCAGATACTAGAAACAGTCGACAGAGTAACAATCGGAGAAGAACCGTCCACAATCAGTCATCCTTATAATAATAATATTAAACTACCTGGTATTAAAACTATACTGACTATAAAATCAGTTATTGTAACTGATCAAGAATTTTATAGTAGTCAAATCTGTAATCAAAACGGATGTTCCTTAGCTTCTTTTCAACTGGCCATAGCTGATGATGTAAACGGCGGTATGTATCAAAATTTATATAACATTTAATAACCGAACACAATTGTATGGCATACTACTCCTTTGTTTTATTGTGATGATGTCGATGTAGATTGTTGAAACGTTGTGTACAAAAGAACTAAGGATTAGTATACCATAAAATTGTGTTTCGTTATGTAATGTATGTATTCAACTCGACAACCTTGCACAAACATTGTTACTTCACTATCGAATAGAAACCTATTAGCAATTTAAGCTGAATGCTTTCTTCATGTATTAGTACCCTAGATGGATTATTACATGTTTTTTCGTATCCTGACGCCCAAACATTGGTAACCGTTGTACCTTGTATACTTGTCTAGTATAAACTAAGTGAAAGGGGGGACATAATAAAGATACTTCTCTGGTCAAGAGGTCTCTTAGGATACCTCTGACGTGTCACTAATAAAATTTAAGCTATATTGACGCCATGGCTTGGACCAGGTCTTCTGACATTGCAGAGGCGGGAAATCAAAAATGTGCAAATAGAAGCTATATGTGTCCCCATTTTCATACTAAAGCTACAGAACTTTCTTGTCAGTCATTCATTTATTCAGATTAACTACACTATGTCGAGACTTCGCTGATATGTTGGGGGTAAAAGCGGTTTTAAATAGATTTTGCTGTGATATTGTCTTATTTCAGAGGACAGTGATATAAATGTAACTGAAGCAGTTATTGTAGCTGTCCTAGCAGTAGCTTTACTGATAGTCGGAATTTTTGTTTTTATCAAATGTAGAAAATACAGAGGTGAGCTTTGGATTCTATCGTCCACTTTACTGATACAAACCCAGGTGACATAGTTCGGCAAATTGTCTAAACACCGCGGTCACTCCATGCGATGGCTGAAGCAACGGAAATGCCCTAAAGGGAATTGCAGAGCAGTTTTCCAAACTTTTTATGAGTATCATGGGCATTGATAGGATCCATTTGCACCATTCCAGTTTTCCTCCTGGAAATTGATTCAATCAAAGCGTTTTGTGATATCATTATCACAAAGGCCTTCGGTATTATCAGCAGCTTTTACGATATTGACATCATAAAACGCTTAGTTTTAGTGGAATGGCAAAAACCACACCCGTCTGACTGCAAAATGAAAATCGATTTTATCAGTGTCCCTGATGCACGTAAAACTTTTTTCAAACCCTTTTGAGGTCACTCTTCAAACATTTAAGTTTCATTAAGACTGTATAACATATGAGCTCAATAGATCTGTCGCTGATTTGTGCCTTACATGTAAAGCCAATTCTTCATTAGCCCAAATGGTGCAGAATAGTAGGACGTAAAACTCCATATATTTTATTTCATTTCATTTACATGTATGGCAAGGTCTGTAGGTCCGAATGCGCACATTTAGTGTTTTTACTTCACCATGTGTATTCTCCGTCAAAATTTGCCTCTCCCATAGACAGGGCCATTCTAAGGTTAATAGTAAGTAAATCTTTTATTATTCAGCTTCCAAACAAAGTGAAAGTTGGTGAGTAACCCAGTTTATTTAAAACTACGTAAAGGGCTGAAATAGGTACATTCCAGTCTTAGCAGTCTTTGGTCCCTATCCACTGTGGATTTATTTTTGTCAAATAATGACCAATTTGAATTGTATGGTATTTACACGAGTGACGAGAACACCCAGTGTCAGAATTTGCAAAAAAAAAAAAAAAAAAAAAAAAGACGCTACCTGTTTCCTCGTTACTCTTGTACGACTATTTAATATGTCATATTTTATTTTAGTGAACAAAACGTTTATGACAGTACAGTTCCAACACCAACACCAACACCAGCTTCTGTCTATGATACTTTAGGTAACTGTATTCACTAATTCTTAAAACAGAAAATGTTCTTGGATGCAAGAACAACCAAAATGCATAATGGATACCAAGGCCAGTGTAAAAGTTGAAGCCACATAAGTGTATACTAGTATACAACTCAATAATAAAAGCGTTGTCCCTTTCAGCAGACACGTGATTTTGAATCTTGAATAACGAATAATAAAGGTTGTCTATTGGACTCATTTACACATCTACCTTTTTGACTTTTTCATTTTCACTTATTGTGTTTATATTTTAGGCACAACTGAAAACGAAAATGGATCTAGGTATGTAACAAAAAGTTTCAGGCTAAGATATTGATGCTCATTGAGGCATCTTGGCCTCAGAAATCTACCATTGTTAAATAATATTGTCTGTTTGTGGCAAAAATGGTCTACCTTGAAAGTTCTGCTAGCGCGTTGCAACATATAATAATGAATGACAGACATTGTTTACATACACTATGTGAATATTGCCAAGTGATCACGTGATTTTGGTAAATCAAATATCATAGGCTAGTCGTTCAGGACTACGAATAATTGTAAACAAACACAATAAAAACAAAACTTTCGTAGGATATGGATTCAAAATTGTAATAAAATGTTTAATGCGGAAATTTTGAATTATCCTCTGAGAGCTGTAAAGCAAGGGACTATATTCAGGTCGCAATATTACTATCACTTGACAAATAATTGTGAAATGCCGGAAGTAAAGAGTCTCGCCCAAGAAGACACAACGAAATTGACCATTCATTATTGAGACAAATTCAGCCTAACGGAAACTGCCGAGGATTGCCGAATGCTTTTAACAGCGTTGAGCAATCCGTGTCGATACGTGTCTGCTTCCAACAGTATAGATAGTCCTTCGGGACACTGCAATGGACACCGCATATCGTTTGCAACTTCCTGTACTTTTTCCTTATAACTGTAACCTTATACAAAGTTTGTTCATTTCAGTGAATATGACAGAGCAATTCATGTACCAAGTCCTGCATCAGAATATACAACACTAGGTGAGTGGTATCAGTCTAATGCAGTGCTTCTCAACCCCAGTGAGAACATTCCTTACCGAAAAAAGTTCTTCCAAATCTTTTCCTCCCAGAAATAACTCAGTCACAGTTCACTCGAAAAAAGTATTCAACGATTAACCACGAATGGATATAAAATTATACTACAAATATCGAAATAGTTCAATGTGATCCGTGGGCCGAATGTTTGTTTACGATTTCTGTATCCCCCAGATGAATGAAGTAAATTTCAGTCGTTGCATCAGTTTTTCTGACTTTTTATTTCTAGGTCAGCAGAGTCAATATGAAAATACTGCGAACCAACCTCCATCTGTTTATTATAATACACTTTCTGGTGTTTCAATGACTGAAAAACTTAAAGAAGAGACAGATAATTCCAATGAATACGAAAATCCAAAGGGCCACAAAGAAACGGGAAAATGATCTGTTTTGGCATTTTTTCGTTCATATCTTTTATGATTAAATTTGCGATGTAACATTTCCCTGGTTAATAAAGTAATATTTTGTTTATGATTTCGGACTTTGATGAACTTCGATGGACTCACCGGTAAACACTGAGTCGAAACCTTAAAAAGACATATTGACTCACTAGTAGCAATGTGCATATAACTGAAATCTTAGCACTTTGGTTTCCTGTGAAAAAGTGCCGGAAAATCCTTATTTCGTACAGACTTGTATTTATTATCTTCAGAATTTAATTTTTCCTCAGATATTCCCGACAATGCCTTATACATCCCAATAATATGCCTGGCAAACTCAATAGCCACGATCGCAGTAGGGTCATAGGGTCGCAATGGGGCTCTGATGAAAACAAACATATTCCATTTCACCGGTACAGAACACACTTCCTATCCCAGTTAATTTTATTTGTATGCAATTTAAAAGAGCTTCAGATGATAACTGTATATTAACAACATTTGAATGATTATTCTAATCATATAAATGCATTAACATCTACTTTCCATTTGTATAATTCGTAATAGTCCTTGACAGTTTTGACTATCTTATAAAATAGACATAAAATGTAAAGTTTCAGACTTGGTCAATAAGTTTATATATTCATCAGTTAGACTTACCTACTAAAGAATAGGATCTCTATTAGACGATATATCCATTAAAGATGGGTTCCCTCATCTTCATTTATGAAATTGAAAATGCTAATACTTATATGAATAGAAAGTAGAGGTGTTCTAATACCAGTTTGTCTCACATGTCCATTATCAATTCATAATTAGCTAAATTAGAAGAGAATTACCAGCAGAATTCCAATGAGCGACCGATCAAGAAAGGTCAAAAAGTCTTTTTTTTTGTTTATCCAGACTGTACATAAATGGACATTTACGATTGGTTAAAACTCTTTATTATATGCAATAAGAACATAATGATATGATTAAGAATACATGATAATTCATTAGAAACACCAATTAATCAAATAGTTTGACACTAAAAAATAAGGAAAACCATCTTTAAACTAAATATCCATTGCAACAGGCTTCTTAGCATGGTTTCAAATTAATTAGGTGAATGAATTATTTATTTAATATTATGGATTTATTGGGTTATAGAAATTTTAAAATTTCATTTTTTGGTCATGTATACCTTTAAATGAATTTGTTGTTTCTGAAACCATTGTTTATCAAGGCTATACATCTGTAGCATTTGCAAAATTGTGAATAAATGTTGTTTAAATCATGTCGATTAGCAGAAAATTATAGATGCATATTCGGATAACAATAGCCTAATATAAATGACAATCTTTACAAAGTAGATTAGATCTAAAACCAGTTAGTGCATAACAAACCAAATCCTCGCTTAATAATCGAGAGAAATTAAATTGAAGATGGCTTTTCGAATTTGCAAGAATAAAATCAAGCAAACTGTCTGATTATTATTGTTTATAATAAATTTTCCTTTTTATTCTTAAACTAAAGAAATGTATGTGTACTTAGAAGGCTTCGAGATTACAACATCAAATCCGTTGGGAGAGGCTATGTTTATTAAAGTCACCATTCACCAAATGATGGGGGGGGCTAAATTTAAGTTCAGGTATAGTTTACTTTCCAGTTGGTTGATTTGATTCAAATTATACTTAGGTCTTGTGCTGCACCCCTTTTCTATTCAATCGAATATGGCGTCCCTAATATTAGGTTGCATATTTGTGGGACTAATAATACATATACATAGTAAGTACATGCATTCCTTTACATAATATTGATTTAGATATTGTCAAGACTATCAACAGACTGCAAAGGCCACTACTTAGCAATGAGTTTACTGGGTTTCTTCCCATCTGATTATAACATGTTATGCAATAGGGAATGGTAAGAAAAATTTAGTCAGTTGAGAAATGAAATGAACTTTTCTGCACCGTGTGGGCTAATGAAGACGATAGTCAGATAAGATGATGAAATTTACATGATTTGTATTTTGAAAATGTTAGATTTGCAATGCCACGAACCCCGATTTCTTATCTCTTTTACTTTGGAAGTTCTGATGGTTCTGTTTTCTCTATGAAAATCTGGGCTTTTTGGCACTTTTTCGCAAAATAAAAAAGTGCTGAAAAATATACTTTTACGAATATTGGGGGACTTTTAGTGAAACATCGGGTCTGAAAAACCAGGTTACATCGATTTTCAAGACCCAAAATTTTCTGGTAGTTACATGTACAATATGTGCGATTTGACAATCATGTGTTCCGGTGAGAGTGAATGCCTTCCGGAGATACCGTAATCGCAATTAAAAAAGAAATTTTATACACCCAAGTGAAATGAGGAGCTATATTCGCATCAACCATTTTCGTCCGTCTAAAATTGCTCGTAAAAACTCTAGCATAATGCATGCGACCCTGACACGTTCTAAATCTCGATTTTTATGACTGGGTTTTCTAAATGAAATCTTTGAAGGATGTTAAATACAATCTTGTAATGACGTATGTGCATTCAAATATTTCATAAAGTAATTGCTTTATAGTGATTTCACTGATTGCTATCTGATTGCAAACGGAAAATGGCTCAGAGCGTGTCAAGGTCGCCATAAGCGTGGTAAAAGCGTGTAGGATAAAAGCAGTCAACGCGTTAGAACAGGCCTGTGTAACCTTTCCGCAACGGCGGGCCGTGGTAGCCCAACACAATGAATGGAAGAAAAAAAAGAAAATCTACACAATATTTATTTAGATGTACAATTTGTTTAAAATACACATGTACATGCGTTTTAGATGGAACACTATGTTGCTGTAAGGTGCAGAAAAAGTAGGACGTAAATTTCTAATCCTTTCCTTTCCTTTTCACTACTTTATCCCTCATTGCATTTGAAACTTTAAAGCCATCTGCCCCATGAACACTATCTGTGGGAATGAGAGTTATGTTCTCCTTCTGAAACCATGCTAAACGGCCTACTGTGAAAGTTACGCTTATCACTCTGCAATATATCACGGCAATGAATGGTGACCATTATTAACCGGAACTATGTCAATATTTTCATGTGATCACAAGATTCTGGTAAATTAAATATCAGAGGCTGGTCGTTCAGGACTACGAGTATTTGTAAACAAAGACAATGAAAACAAAAACCTCGTAGGATGGATGTACTTGATCTAGGTGTCAATCTGTTCTTTTGGCAACGTTTATTATTTTCAGGTTATAAATTTGGATTCAATAATTATTATACCTGCCATTGTTTAGATAATGAAAGATGCAATATTAAAACTGGTGGGTGTAGTAGTGGATGTTCAAGAGGCTGGAGAGGACCTTCTTGTCAACAAGGTATGAGAACAAATTATTCTGTCTTTAACTTACACTCATGAACAATTATTTTATTTTAAAATACTAGCAGTATTACCAAGGTGGACACTCGGAATAGGGGTGTCACATTTCGCAAAATTGACACATGAGTTTAATGGGACAGATGTGCTATTTTTATTTAACCAATCGTACCTGAAACGGGATTTTTTAAAACTATATCCAATCAGGATTCAATTCACAGCTCACCGTAGAAATTTGAGCCTTCAAATCCATGTGCGTTCAGATTTATCTACGTTTGAATGTTAAAATGGCGTCATATACTCGTCGTGATATACAGAAAGGACATAAATAGAAATGCTCAGTAAAATTTTGATTTTAAAGTCTTTCTAGTACTTCTGTAGACTATATGCATATATTCAACACTCAAATCACCCCCTCCCTATCCTCCCAAATGGCGCAACTTTCCCTTTAAGTTTTTTTGGTAATTTTTTGTAATCTCTATTACAGTTTGTTCTCTAGGAACGCACTGTCTCTCTCTATTACAGTTTGTTCTCTAGGAACGCACTGTCTTTCTATTACAGTTTGTTCTCTAGGAACGCACTGTCTTTCTATTACAGTTTGTTCTCTAGGAACGCACTGTCTTTCTATTACAGTTTGTTCTCAAGGATAGTACTTGTCTCTAACTATTACAGTTTGTTCTCTAGGAACGCACTGTCTCTCTCTATTACAGTTTGTTCTCAAGGAACGTACTGTCTCTCTCTATTACAGTTTGTTCTCTAGGAACGCACTGTCTCTCTCTATTACAGTTTGTTCTCTAGGAACGCACTGTCTTTCTATTACAGTTTGTTCTCTAGGAACGCACTGTCTTTCTATTACAGTTTGTTCTCTAGGAACGCACTGTCTATGCATATATTCAACACTCAAATCACCCCCTCCCTATCCTCCCAAATGGCGCAACTTTCCCTTTAAGTTTTTTTGGTTATTTTTTATAGTTCTGATTTTCTGATGAACAATTTTTAATTTCAGAAAATATAGCTTTAGATTCTACGTCTGTCAAACAAACTAAAATATATTTAAATAATCGGGGTAAATATGGCCCTCAACTGGTAGTAGATGGACATAATGATACCAATAGAAATAGATACCCATGTAGTGACAATGCTTATTCACCATGGGCGTGGTGGTTTATAGATTTAAAACAACAATATTCTATAGGGTTTCTAAAGACGTTTACCAATGTTGCCTGTAAGTGTTCTATAAAATAAACGGAAAGTAACAAACCGTCTACCGAGAAAGTTCCGCAACAATAACCGAGACTGATTCAGCTTGACGGAAACTGCCGGGGATTCCATTCTCCATGTATTCTTCATTCTGGACTCTCTAATCACGTTAAATTAAAAATATTCCACTTAATAAGTTTGTATTATATTGTTATTATATACTGTAATGTTACGATAAACATAATTTTTTCAATGTTACAATAGTTATACCTCAATTTGGGTCCCTATTGGTTGAGAGAGCATTCTATATCTTTCTTGACATTTCAGATTTATCATATTTTAAAGGATTTTCTGTTCATATTGATGATGATTTATGTTTTCATCATACTGGTAATTCAAACCCTCCTGCTGTATACCCAATAAAATGTAGTAGAACTTTAACTGGTCGTTATGTTAATATCAGTAATATTAGACGTGGTCAAGTAAACCATTATTTTGAATTATGTGAAGCTGAAATATATGGTAAGTGTTAACAGTTATTATTTTTTTTCATCACACATTACGCCTACGTTGAGTATTTTGTAGCCAATAGATGATAATTTGAAAAAAAACGTAATCGAAAATATAAAACGTACTGTCTTTCTCTATTCCAGTTTGTTCTCAAGGAACGTACTGTCTCTCTCTATTACAATTTGTTGTCTAGGATAGTACTGTCTCTCTCTATTACAGTTTGTTGTCTAGGATAGTACTGTCTCTCTCTATTACAGTTTGTTGTCTAGGATAGTACTGTCTCTCTCTATTCCAGCTTGTTCTCTAGGATAGTACTGTCTCTCTCTATTCCAGCTTGTTCTCTAGGAACGCACTGTCTCTCTCTATTACAGTTTGTCCTCTAGGATAGTACTGTCTCTCTCTATTCCAGCTTGTTGTCTAGGATAGTACTGTCTCTCTCTATTACAGTTTGTTCTCTAGGATAGTACTGTCTCTCTCTATTACAGTTTGTTATCTAGGAACGCACTGTCTCTCTCTGTTACAGTTTATTCTCTAGGATAGTACTGTCTCTCTCTATTCCAGTTTGTTCACAAGGAACGTACTGTCTCTCTCTATTACAGTTTGTTCACAAGGAGCGTACTGTCTTTCTCTATTACAGCTTGTTCTCTAGGAACGCACTGTCTTTCTATTACAGTTTGTTCTCAAGGATAGTACTTGTCTCTAACTATTACAGTTTGTTCTCTAGGAACGTACTGTCTCTCTCTATTACACTTTGTTCTCTAGGAACGTACTGTCTCTCTCTATTACACTTTGTTCTCTAGGAACGCACTGTCTCTCTCTATTACAGTTTGTTCTCTAGGAACGCACTGTCTCTCTCTATTACACTTTGTTCTCTAGGAACGTACTGTCTCTCTCTATTACACTTTGTTCTCTAGGAACGTACTGTCTCTCTCTATTACACTTTGTTCTCTAGGAACGCACTGTCTTTCTATTACAGTTTGTTCTCTAGGAACGCACTGTCTCTCTCTATTACAGTTTGTTCTCTAGGAACGCACTGTCTTTCTATTACAGTTTGTTCTCTAGGAACGCACTGTCTTTCTATTACAGTTTGTTCTCTAGGAACGCACTGTCTTTCTATTACAGTTTGTTCTCTAGGAACGCACTGTCTCTCTCTATTAGAGTTTGTTCTCAAGGATAGTACTTGTCTCTCTCTATTACAGTTTGTTCTCAAGAATAGTACTTGTCTCTAACTATTACATTTCGGGGAAGGGAGGGTTTCATTCTTCCAAATGTACAGGCCTAGGGTGGAGCAGACACTTTATTTAGAAATTAGGATTAAGGGTCTTGATATTGGGTTTTCTTCTGTTCTTATTCTGATCTGAAATTAGAAAAAATAACTCGCCCGATGGGCGAGAAGTATAGTATCTGTTATGTACTGATTGTTTTTAGTTTACTATGAACAATATTATCATTTAAGTTCTTATTTTTTGAATATGCAACTATCATTTTCTGCTTATAGGCATGGGGGAATTTCTCTTGAAGGCTCTTATTGTGGGCATGAACTATCTTGCTTGCTCGATTGCTGGTTGTATTAAACGGGACAACAAAGGGTGCTATGCCTACATTATGATGAATATTTAGTCCTATAGGTCTTGCTGTATTCAATGTCTCAATCCAATGGGCCTCCCTAGATTGACGGAATTTGGTAGTTTCATCTTCGGGCAAGTCAATTTCTATACGCTCAATTGGGATTAGGGTGAGATCGTCTATTGAATGGTCGTCGAGGTTGAAATGATTAGAAACAGGCTTGTCTTTCTTTAATTTGATGTCTGACCTATGAGCATTAAAGCGAGTTCGTAAATTATTCTTAGTTTCTCCTACATATTGTTTGGGACATTTCTTGCATGAAATTAAATATATTACATTCGAATGTTCACATGTTAGATGTTCCTGGATCGGGTACCTTTTATTCGTAGAGTTGCTTACAAAATAATGAGTTTCTGATATAAAGGGACATGTTTTGCATCTACTGGACAAACATGGAGCACTTCTTAAACCTGGAGGTACTTCGGCATAAAGTCTGTTTTTAGCTGCTATCTGTGCTAAGGTGGAATTTTTAATGTTTCGTAAAAATCGTTTAGAGTACCCACGCCCTTCAGAAAACAATCGTACAGGCTTGGTTGAAATCAGAAGATCTTGTACAAATTCGATGAAATCGTAAAACTTGTGACTTAATTATACCAGAAAAGGTATGTTTTGGGTGAAAGGAGCTCTTGTGCAAGAGTTGATGAGTATCAGTTTCTTTGAAATACACTTTAATATCCAGTTTATTTGTTTCTGCTATGGAATCTCCCTTAAAGACTGTGGTATCGAGAAAGTCTATGCTTTTGTCACTCACGTTTGCGGTTAGTTTGATAGAAGGATGGTGGTTGTTGAGAATTTCAAAGAATTCCCAAAACTGTTCGATAGAATAAGTCCAAACCATAAAAATGTCATCCAAAAAGCGTCCGTAAAAAAGTGCGTCAAGTGGACAGAGGGGCAACACCTCACGTTCCCACTCTGCCATGAAAAGGTTTGCGTACGAAGGGGCGAATCGTTTGCCCATTGCTGTCCCTGAAGTTTGTAAATATGTTTTACCATTAAATGTGAAATCGTTTCGACTAAGACAAATCTCTAAAAGCTGTAGAATTGCATCGTCGGGTCTGTTTGGATCTGGGTTTCTATTAAAAGCTTTACGAACTGCCGTTAAACCAGTAGTGTTATCGATATTGGTATACATAGAAGAAACGTCGATAGAAATTAAAATAGCTTTAGAGGGAACTC